GAGATAGATAGTGAAGGAGAGGAAGACTTCAACCAGGTGGACTGACACAGTGACCGCAGCAATAGAGTCGAGTGTGTCAGAGGTTGTGAGGACGGCTCAGGACAGGACAGAGTGCAGATCTGTTGCTCATAAGGTCTCTGTAAGTCATAGTCAACCTGTTACCACTGAACAACACATCTTCAGAGCAGATTTATCATCTTTCCTCTTCAGAGCAGCTAGTGGATCCTCGACACGTGCTTGTGGGCTGACAGCACACCTCCTTACCACTAAGCCACCAGAGCTCGCTGAGGGAAGGGGAGGGTCAGCAAAGAGAAGATTCTCTGCAAAGATGAGGACGGTAAGGGGCTCGAGCATGGCAGAGTTCACTAGGGTGGCACAGGCGAGGGCAAGGTTTCCGTCTGTTGTCACTGTGAATTACAGTCTGGCTGATGACACCTAGTGTCGCCTTCCTGCGCTGTGAGAGAATGAACGCCTCCTCTTTACCTCCTTGTATTTCTGTCACGGCAGCACTGTGGAATAAGACCCTGACTCTATAGCTTCAGAAGTGGACTCTGGTGTTACCTGGTGGTAAGGAGTTGCACTGGCAACCCAAAGGTGTGTGGTTCAAATCCACCAGCTGCTCTGGTGTGTGATTCAAATCCACCAGCTGCTCTGCAGGAGGAAGATGGGCAATCTCCTCCCATCCAATTTGTTGTCATTGTTGATTGCCGTCAAGTCGAGCATGACTCGTAGTGACCCTATGAGGGAAGGCCTGAAGCCTTTCTATAACTATTGTCATTTCTCAAGGTTCATAGAGTTTCCAGAGGCGTTTTGTTTAGGAAGTGGATGCCACTCCTGCTTCCAACCACCCGATTTACTGCCTCTGAAAACCCAGTAGAAGTTCCGCTATGGGTTGGCTCTGCCTTGAAAGTACACAATACCAACAGTATAGCTACAGACGAAGAAACTGTGGTGTTAGGGGGTTATTGTTCAAAATTACTTTCCTAGGTTTTGATTTTGTACGTGGATGGATGGGAATATGTGAAGAGGGTGTGTTAGCCTATTCACAAGGGGATTGGCTAGTCTCACCACTAAACTGAGATGATTCAGCAGCCAGTTTTGGAGCTCTTACCACTAGCAAAAAAGAAGCAGATTACACAGAATGGACGTCCTTCGGGGCCAGAGCTTCCTGCACCGCTCAGACCAGGGCCTACGGGAGGTGGGGTGGGTGGGCAGCAGCAACAGCTGAAGCAGAGAACCACAGGCCTGGCAGGAGACAGCGCCAACCTGGGAACTGCGACCCTCAGAACCAGAGCTAACAGCCTTTGACCAAGTTCCTTGGAAGACTCATGGGGGAACAGCCATAGTTAGACTGAGAACTTTCCCGACTTTTTTTTCCCCCAATTTTATTTTATTATTTTGGGTGCATGTACCCTCATGCACTTGCTGTGAAGGGTCAAGGACTGCAGCCTT